GAGCGCAGGGCACGAGGGCAGCGGGCCCGGGAGCCACCGACACTTGTCACTCATTCCCGTGGAAGTGCCCAATGGATGGGGAAAGGCACAGCTGCTCGTTCCACCTCCAGGTAAAACATGAGCTCTGGCTTACTTCAACTCCTGGAGCTGCTCTCCCACGGGACAGGGACCTCCGCAGCAAGACCCATGCCAACGCTCCCACAGCGCACAGGTCTCTGCCTCAGCCGACGTTCCCAAAAGCGACTCACAGCAGAGGATGGCTCCATCCCCAGCACCCATTCACTCCCTGGGAGCCCTTCCAGGCTGCTCCCTCGCTGCACTGCCCAACCACGGCCATGCTCCAGCCCCAACTCGGCAAGACCATGCCGGGCTGCTGCCTGCCATGCCCACGATCGCAGCGGCTTGCAGGAAGAACCAGAGTGAAAGGGCAGCAACGCTAGGGCCAGCAGGGTCAGCGCTGCCTTGTTCTGGCCAAGGCTGGGCCACCGGGTGGGATGCCGCATCCTTTTGCTCTGCCAGCAATGCTGCGTCGGCAGTGAGCTCTTTAGGGCCAGTGGTGCCCAGTGATAGAACGAGGGGTAATGGGCATAAACTTGAACATAGGAAGTTCCATCTTAACATGAGAAGGAACTTCTTTACTTTGAGGGTAGTGGAGCAGTGGCAGAGGCTGCCCAGAGAGGTGGGGGAGTCTCCCCCTCTGGAGCCATCCCAAACCCGCCTGGACGCCGTCCTGTGCCACTGCTGGAGGTGCCCCTGCTCTGGCGGGGGGTGAGACTGGATGATCTCCAGAGGTCCCTTTCAACCCTGACCGTTCTGTGATTCTGTGATTCTGTTTGCACAGCAGAGCACACACGTGCCGAGAGGAGCAGGGAAGTCGCTGCCCGTCTCCCGTGCCCGTCCCCCTCCCTTATGCCTTGCCTGACACAAGCCCCTACGCCTGCACTGGTTCCACGAGCGCTTTCAGTGATAGATGTCTTACAGGAGCATCCTGTCTTCCCCAAAGGAGCTGCCAGAAATTGATGGCTGCTTGGAAACTGCAACTGGAGTGGGAGACGTGGAGAGGGAGCGCGCGGCTCCCAGGACAGGGCCGTACCTTAGGCTGGTGCTCGATCTTGTAGGAGGTTTGCTGGAACTGGCGTATCTCTCTTATGATATGTGAAATCTGTCCGGAGACAAAACACAGGAACTGTTTGCAGCAGCGCCATCACCACCGGCACCGCGTGCCGGCACTTGGGAGGGCGACGGGCGGCTGGTGGAGCGCACTCCGTCCGCGCCTTTCCACCACGGCACGACGCAAAGGGCTTTTTTGTTTCTTCCCGCAGCAGGGACA